TCTCTTTCTCTCTCTAAAAAAAAAAAAAAGACATGAGCAGTGTAGCAAGGGATTAAGAGGCTCAGAGAAGAGAGTGACATGTCAGAGTCAGGAGAGGGGAGTATCGGAAAAGGGGAACTCAATATGCAGAGACAAGAACTGAAAAGTTTCCAGAATTGATGAAAAATATCCTCGCTTCAGAAGCTTAAAAAGGTGCGAGGGGATAGAAAGTGAAAATCATCATAAATTTTGAAGTGAAATTATAAAACACAAGTGAATAAAGAGAAGATATTAAAAACACAAAAGTCAGGGCTAGGGTTGTGGCTCAGCTGTAGAGCACTCGCCTAGCACATGTGAGGCCCTAGATTCGATCCTCTAACACCACATAAAAATAAATAAAGTAAATGAATTTATGTGCTGTTTTGAAGAGTTTGCTGGACGTAGGAAGTATACAAAAGACATAAAGTGCAAATACAATGCAAGAAATAAAGATGTGTCTAGGATAAAAACAGACAAATTACCTGTTGTAGGAAAAACCAGAACAAAACATTGATCATAATGTAACTACCTGAAAGCCCCATTCCACCCTCGCTTACCATTTAAGAGCATGTGTGGGCCACAAATGTGGAAGACGGTGACTGGTGGACAGCACATCTGGTTATGTGGGATGGTGGTTGGGTGGAGACTGTGAGTGGGGAATATAAAAGTGATTTGCAAGACTTTCCATAAGTTTCAAAGTTTTTAAGCTGGTCCGTGAGTTCATCATTCCGTGAGTTGCTATTATTCCATCGTATGTGTTCCTTGTTGGAATAGTTCGTAATAATAAAAACGCTTTCCCTCAAGTCACATTACATGTAGCTTCTCATGCAGCAGCGCCATCCAACGCAGCAGGCAACATGAGAATCTTAGCGTGTACCTGAGAAAGGAAGGCAATGTTGGCGGGCAACACAGCAGCCCAAGGAAGCGCCCTCTCAGGTCAGCTGAGACAGTCCTTGGGTTCAGTAGGACCCTCACAGAAGCAAGTTTCCCATGCTCAATTTTGTCCTCTGAAAAAATGTGTGAATGGTATAATTTTCCTTGCAAAGGAATCCCTTGTTTGGGTGGAGAGAATATAGGTGGAGTACAGAATAGATGTTTAATGAGCTGCACTAACATCTTTCTGGAACGAGGCAGAGGGCAGCCAGTGAGGCAGAAATGAGATGGCACTTACTTCCAAACACCTGCAGCCAAAGACGTTCCTGCCTCATCTTTGTGCACACTTTTCTCACAGCACTTGTTGGTTCCAAACTCAAATCTCATGTCTCCTGCCTAGGGAGCCTTTCTAGGAAGGCTGTGCCCTGAGAGTCTCTGTAGGACCCATTCTCTCCAGCCCTGTGTCAAGCACACAATGGACACTCATTCTGTTTGGAGAACACTGGAAACACCCCCTGTTTGAAAGGAAACCTAGATAAATCATATAAACACTGTACCTAGTGAATCAATCTTAGCTTTCTCCTTGGGAGCTACCAAGAGTACAAAGAGGAATCATGCTTGCTACCCCTCCCGTCCTTATACAGCTCAATTTCTCATTGGTGTCGGCACATTTCACAGCAGTGGCTCCATACTAAACACCATAGTCACTCCACAAATACTTCACCTGTCAATACTTCTATATATGTCACTCAAATGGGCACTGTAAAGTGTACACAGCACACCCTCTCCTTTTTCATTTTTTAAAATTTGTTCTAATTAGTTACACATGACAGTAGAATGCATTTTGACACACTATAAATAAATGGGGTATAACTTCTCCTTCTGATTGTCCATGATGTGGAAACACGCCGGTGGTGGAGTCGAATATACACATAGACTGCGCTCTAATCTCATACTCGTTTATGAAGATCTCAGGCCATTCGTGTTTTACAAAATTTCACGTAGCGGTGGCAAATCTCGATTTTCTGGGGTGCATTCCCCGGGCGCAAGCGCTCTCCTCACAGAGAAAGGAGTGGTACTGACCCTCCGCCCGCGCAGCCCACGCCTCCTGTCTGCGCGCACAGGAGCGCGCTCTGCTGCCCTCCCTGGCCGCGCAGCATCCCGAGCCGCCGCCTTCGCGCTCTCCAGGCGGGTCAGCCCCTTGCCGGACTGTGGAGGTGGGCGATGATCCAACCCGTGAGGATCCTCCAGTCTCTGCCGAGCACCGTGACTTCTGGGGGGACGCAGGAGAGACACAGGGCACGCAGACTTCAACTGGGTTGACCTTCACTCCCTTTCAGGGCACCAGAGCCCGGAGCACCCGACTCTGCCCACCACCGGGAGGAACCTAGAGAGCGCTCGCCCGGTGGACAACTCGCCAGGCAGACTCTGGGAGTGAGTTGGGAGAGCCAGTGCCTTGGAGAGGTGGCATGGAGCGTGTGGGTGCGCCAGGAGCCCTCACCCCGAACAGCTAAGTACAGCGTGGCGGGAGGGAGAGGCTCAGAGCAACAGGTAGGGTCGGGAGCCACTCCAGGGGCAAAGGAGCGCAGCCAACAAGTACCCAGAGTCCCTAAGGCGCAGGGAGGGCTCTCTCCACTTGCAGACGGCAGCAGGCGCGTTCCCTCCTCTCCAGCTTGGTGACCGCACAGCGGTCGGTCGGTCGGAGGCACCCAGTAGTCTGGGGGACCTCTGGGATCTCAACCATCTCCGGTTTGGGTCCGCAAGACCCGGCACCCAGGCACGCCACGCACTGCTATCGATCCAAACGTCCCTAGTCCTGTTCATCCAGGGAGGATCCCTAGGAAAGTCGAGCGAGCGCTCAGTGCTCTGGGCTGGAATCCCCCCGGCGACTCCAGCGCCTGCTTTCCCAGGCAAGCACTCCTTTTTGTGCGCCCCGCCACCCTGCTCTCCAGCGGGTAATGGAGTTGGCGACTGCGAACTTCAGTGAGGGGAACGCGAGCGGGCCTGAACCTCCCACCGCGGAGGCACCTCCGCTCTTCGGCATCGGCGTGGAGAACTTCGTCACGCTGGTGGTGTTCAGCCTGATCTTCGCGCTGGGCGTGCTGGGCAACAGCCTGGTGATCACAGTGCTGGCGCGGAGCAAGCCCGGCAAGCCGCGCAGCACCACCAACCTGTTCATCCTCAACCTGAGCATCGCCGACCTGGCCTACCTGCTCTTCTGTATTCCTTTCCAGGCCACCGTGTACGTGCTGCCCACCTGGGTGCTGGGCGCCTTCATCTGCAAGTTCATCCACTACTTCTTCACGGTGTCCATGTTGGTCAGCATCTTCACCCTGGCCGCGATGTCGGTGGACCGCTACGTGGCCATTGTGCACTCTCGGCGCTCCTCCTCCCTGAGGGTGTCCCGCAATGCGCTGCTGGGCGTGGGCTTCATCTGGACACTGTCGATTGCCATGGCCTCACCTGTGGCCTACCACCAGGGCCTCTTCCGGGACGTCAGCAATCAGACCTTCTGCTGGGAAGAGTGGACCAACAAGAGCCACAAGAAGGCCTACGTGGTGTGCACCTTCGTCTTTGGCTACTTGTTGCCGCTGCTGCTGATCTGCTTCTGCTACGCCAAGGTGGGAGCGGCGACTTGGAGGGAGAGGATGGATGGAGGGGCAGTGGGGCCCTGTAGCTCCTCTGGTCTCCGCACCCTGGCTGAGCCTCTCTGCATCCCCGCCCCCTGCCCTCTCCAGGAGTCGGGTGCAGACTGATTTATAGGGGGGATTTCCACACTCCAGTTTGCCTTCTCCTCTGCAGGCTCCTGCACAACCGGCAAGAAAGTCAGGTGGAGTCTGGGGGCTGGGAGGGTTTGCTCTCTAGACTTTGGGTAGAACGGCTTTGTCCACCCTTAGCTTCTTGGGCTCTATGGCCTGTAAAGCCCACTGTGGCCGGAGCACACTTGCACTTCTGCTGTTCAGAGACTCCGGGTGTTGCAGCAACTCAAACAAAACCCGCCAGCGGGAGGCAGTAACTGGGCACTGTGGTGGGACCCACCGAGAGAGCGCAGGCTAGTTGCGCGGATGCGGTCCCAGTCACCCTCTGGTAGTTTTCTCCTGGGGCTGGCTGGAAGGCTCATGGCTGGGCGCTCTTCTCCCCGCGCGTGCCCGCGCCCTCGCCCTTGCAAGCCAAAGCTTGGTGGAGACCAGGCTCTCTGAGGCCCTGCTCTTAGGGACAGCGCTTCGGATTTGCTTTACACAGAAGTTCAGCTTTACAAACCCTAGGGGTGGAAGGTGTGGGAGTGCTGCTTCCTCATGTCCATCAGGTTTTAGAAAGGTGTGGACAGTGCTGAGGGCTTCAGGTGGTCCTCTGAAATCCGCATCTGGAGAGGAGCAGCGAGGCCCGGCTGCTGGCCCGGTGTCTGCCTCTCTTTCCTTCCAGGGGGCTAATACCTACCCTGCCTTACAGATCCCACAGAGATCCATGCCCCTCCTCCAGCATGCATTACTCAGGGTGAAGAGTTGACATGGATCAAAAAGTCTGAAGCTTCTGTGGCACAACCTGTTTATGTTTGAGTAACCAAGAGTATGTGTAATGGTCGTCTGACAGCAGTACCTAGGGTGAACTCCCGGGTCCCCAGGATCTTCCCGGCTAAGTGCCATCATCATCAGAAAAAAACCCTTGGGAAGCAAATTGTGAAGTTTCCAACTAACTCATCTCTCCCAGCCTCTCTGACTCTGATAAATAAGGCTGGCTACAGGACCATAAGTAACCATGGAAGATAGAACAATAGCCACTTTTAATATTCAATCGTAAGGTATTTTCCCCAGGAAACATGTTTAATATGAGTCATTGGAATCCCCCATTTGAACCATCTATGTAGATTATGTCTACTTTGAATGATAATATTTTTGGATATTATTTGAAAAAATAGCTTGCACCAAAAGGCATACATAAGGAAAAACAGTCGAGGTAGGTATTTGGAAACTAACTGGAGCTTAGCTATTAGCTATTTGCTATTTTATTTATTTAGTTTTCTGAAAAAACAAAACAAAACAAACAAACAAACAAAACCAAAAACAGCTGTGAACAGCACAGCTATCTGAAATGTGCATTATCTCATTTAATTTACACCTCTATGGAGGAGCTATCATCCCTATTTTATTAAGGCAAAGGAGTGTTGGAAGTGTGAAGCAAGCTTCTTTGGCACAACTTGTTTCTGTTTGAGTAACTAAGTTAAGTATAGATTTAATAGTCCCATGATAGTAGTACTGGGGGGTGAACCCTAGAATGTTCTGCATCCTCCCCTCAGAGTACCAACACCATTAGACAAGCCACTTAGATACAAAAATCTGGCATTCAGAAAGACTTTTTAGGAAGGGATGATAGGTGGTTGCTGGAGGACATAAAGCTTGGGCCAAAGGGATTCTTAAAATATCTGGCTCTTAATTTCCCAATTCCCTGTATTTGAACTGAAGACGTGCTTTCTTCAATTCCCCAAAGTCTTTAGAAAAATCACTTATTATTTTCATAGAAATGAATGATAAGGTAATTTTGGGGACTAAATTGGACTATCATTTTAGAATTTATAAAGGTCACACTAAAAACAAAGATTTAAAATTTAACTGAAAAAAAGAAAAACAATAATGAGATGCATGATCATTTGGATATTTTTTTTATATGGAAATAGTTTGCTTCCAAGAATAAATAAGAATATCTTTTACATCCAAGATAATATTTGCAAATTCACTTTAGGAGCTAAATAGCTGGAGATCAGTTATTTTGGGCTGCCTTTCCTTGATTTAGGTCCTAAGTGTGTACTAGCCAATGAGAATTTTGGTGCTTGAGTGTTCAGATCAGGATGGCTGTTTGCCGGAGGAGCAGGTCTGATGCCCACACATCGGCCAGAAGGGCCCCTGGGTTACAGTGTGTGTGTGTGTGTGTGTCTAACGTAGTGACAGAAGTGGATTCCGGAATCACCTTTGGTAAGTGCTTTGTGGAGCAGCTCTTTGCCTGAGAGTCCTGGGAAGGGCACAGGGTGTGGACTGGAGAGGGATCTCGGTGGTGGGCCCTTTGTCCCCTTGGGTTGCTTTGTTCCTGCTGCTGTAGACCCATCGCCCCCTAAACGTGCTTCACTGAGCATGAATCGCTGTCTGGAGCCCTCCCTGGTTTCTCCACATCCCAGGGTGTGCCCAGTGTGACTCTGGCTGGTATTTGGTTGGCATCTTCCCCCACACCGGGCAATGCAAGTGGAGAAATGGCACCACGCCAGCATTATCTTCCAGGGAATGCAAACCATCGCCACTTCCTTTCTTTCTCTTTTGATGCAAGTCTTGGTGAGGGTGCATCACAATGTGTCACGTGCACTCACTCACAGCATGAGCTATTGAGGAGAAACAGCTACACAGTATATTCGAGCCTCTTCTCCTTTGAACATTCAACGGCATTCGGTGTTAGGTGTATTGAAGTTGCTCAGTGGTGACTTGCCCTTGGTTGTTGATGGTGTGCATGGACCCTCACTAGCCTGGTGAAGCTTGCTGCTTGTGTGGGTGTGCCCCTCTGATTTCAGGTGGGTGGCTTCTGTTCTGGTTGCTCCTGTGTCCCTTGCCCTCAGTGCCCTTTGTTGCCCTGTGGGCTCATGTGGCTAGGCTGCTGTTGACCTGCTGGCCAGGACTGTCCTCTGGGCCAGGCTCCTGCCTTAGCCCTCTCCTTCCTCCTGGAGACTTTCTTCTTTGATGCTGTAGCGAAGGCTCCCTTCTGTCTTCACTTTTATCTAGCTTGTGGACCCATTTCCATTGGCAGGACAGTTCCCCGTTGTCAATGTACTGCGTTTATCCCTAATGCCCCTGTAGCTTGTTTTGCTATCAAGGATTCTGAGCCAGCTCAGGAGGAGAGAAGTGTTTTAGCAACATGGAGAATGTGAAACCAAAAATGCACACCCCAGTGACGGCTGCTCAAGCTGAGCAGGGTTTGGAAGGTTGGTAGGCAGATCCTGCGGTTTCCCAAAGAGGACCTGGCTGATGGCCGTAAGTGCTCCTTGTAGCTAGGGAGCAGGGTCTGCAGGAAGCCCACTTCTTTATATTATTTCCATGCTGCGGTGCTAGAGGGAGACAGAACAGTGGCAGGAAGCTGCTTTTACTTCTCAAGAGACATGTCAGCAACCCACAGTCAGTCTAAAGCCCTTAGTCATCCAGACAACGCTTGCTGCAGGTTGTCCCCAGGAGGAGACTGAAAAATGAACTCCAGCATCAGTTCTGCAGGGTTGGCTCTGTTGGTCAAGTTCAGTTCGGAAATTCCTATACATATCCAAAGCTTTTCCCGTCTTCTGAATATTATACTGGCAAGAGAAGACACAAATGGTTTTTGAATTTAATGAAGCCAGTGTGTCTCCAGGGTGCTCCCCGACAGGGACGTCCATCGCAAAGCCCTGCACAATGTGCGTCCACCGTCAGTGATACTGGGTTCTCGAGATGAAGTTGTCTAAAAGCACACAGCCAACGAAAGGAGGCCTGGTGGGCAGGGTTTTGCCTTGAGGTTTGCAGTGGAAAGAGGTCTTCACGGGAAAACAGAATAAATAAGCTGAAGTGAATGCCAGTGTGATCTGGTGTGGCCACATTGAAGAGACAGCTGGTCACATCACCTGCTTGTCCACATTGGCTGATGACCTCCCACATGTGCATCTCTAGGTTTCAGTGTATTTATGACCCAATATTGTGCCCAACATACAGCAGGGCCAAGGTAATGGTTGATACGTGGACCAGGAAACTGAGGCAGACAATAGACCAATAGCATGCACGAGTGGGCCCTGGGGTGGTTCTTTCTGGAGGGAATTTCAGGTCTGTTTGCACAAAGACTCTGTGGGTACAAACCATGCCTGGGCGCACCAGTCTTCCCAGACAGTCCTTCCTACATGCTGGAGAAACAGGTGCACTGTGCAATTCAGACTTGCTATTTTGCTGCCCAACATGTATTTCTGTTTTAACAATTTTATGAGCAATGGTACTGCCATTTTGCAATGTCAGTAATCGTTAGTACCAGGCAGGCAACGTGTTTTGAATGTGGAGCAAACTGAGTTCACTGGTCTGTGTTTTGCAGGTCCTTACTCATTTGCATAAAAAGCTGAAGAACATGTCAAAGAAGTCAGAAACGTCCAAGAAAAAGGTAACACAACAAATACTGCAACTTTCACTTGTGCAAGCTTTGTTCACTTTGGTTTTTAATTATACTTACACCTTCCCCAAACCTGGTGAGTGCTGGCCCCTTGGAACAGACACTGGCATGAGCTCTTACTGTGAAGGTGGCTTGAAGGTCAGGCTGGTGGGGGCACCATCATGTCCAAACTCCCGACACCAAACAGGGCGTTGGGAGGTGTGCTCGGCGACTTTCCATGCTGTGACCACAACACCTCATCTGGATGACTTACAGAGATCCTTCTGACTCACAATTTCAGAGGCTTCAGTCTGTAGGTAGCGGGCTCCATTGCTCAGGGCCCAAGGTGAGGAAGTAGATCATGGAGGAAGGAAGTTGCTCCGCACATGGCGGCCAGAAGCAGGGTGGGGGTGGGTGCAGGAACCAGAAGCTCCCTTCCAGGGCATGCCCCCAGTGACCTACCCCCTCCAACCATGCCCCCCACATTTCCAGCACCTCCCAGAGGTCCATTCAGCTATTAACTCACGATCCCATCACTTCCCTCCTCTGAACACGGCGGCTTCAACACGCCCGCCTCTGGTGGCCATTCCATATCCGAACCATGGCAGGAGGCAGGGGTCCCCTGGGGGGCACTGCAGGCTGACCTGGTGAGTGCACGGTGCTGATGGGCGTGTTGGTGAGGAAGTGGAGTGTGTTATTCTGTCTACCTTCCCGGTGTTTCTCGTTGGGAGAGTGCTGATGGAAGAGAGCCCAAGAGCTGCTTCCTGGCCTTCTCTTCCCTACCCCGGTGCTGGTGCTGGCTCAGAGCTGAAGGCTGGGGCCACGCCACTCCCACACCTCCCCTCCCCAGACCCGTCAGTCTAAGAGCCTGCACCGAGGACACTGGAGCACTGGCTTCCGAGGATTCATGATGTTTGCGTGTTGAGGGAAACCATGTGACACACCAGGTTGATGTAACTCTTACTCAGATAACATCTACGCAA